TGTATCATCAACCAACTACAGGGTATATCCTGCAAGCCTGCTCCCCAGTCGTCAGCACACAGCCCATTCCCTCTCTGGATCTAAAGTCCGCAGCCGCTTCATCTCTCCATGTCATCGTCTCTGCCTCCATCTCTGTAGTCACTGCTTCTCCAGGTAGGGTCCCATTCTCTGCTTCTCTCCCATGATTGTCCCAGGACCTCATCTCCTAGACTGCATAGTTAATCACTCCCCTCCTTGCTACAAAACATCTATCTTTACAATTCCAACCCTCACAATCAGTCCTGATAACAATTATTCACTATTGTATCACAAGAGGCTTATCTGCATTTCCTTTCATCAGCCCCGTCTAGACAGATTGGATACTACTCAGTGGAGATTCTACCGTCCTCCACGCCCTCTGGATCTAGATTCCCTCTTAAAAGCTTGTGAGCCAGTCACTTCTTGCCTTTGAAGCCTGCCCATTTTGGGTAGCCAATGTCCAAGTTGCGCATACTTGTCTACTCTGTGATTGGGATTACATTATATGTGTAAATTGCTTTGGGCAGTATTGCCATTTTCACAATGTTAAGTCTTCCTATCCAGGAGCATGGTACATTCTTCCATTTTTGTAAGTCTCTTTTGGCTTCTTTAGTAGTGTTTTATAGCTTTCTTTGTATAAGTCCTTTGTTTCTCTGGTTACATTTATTCCTAGATATTTCATCCTTTGGGTGGCTATTGCAAATGGTATTGCTTTCCTAACGTCCTTTTCAATGCTGTCGTTTTGGTATAGAGGAATCCAACTGATTTTTATATCTCGATCTTATATCCTGCCACTTTGCTGAATCTTCCTATGAGGTCTACTAGCTTTTTTTTACAGAGTCTTTGGAGTTTTCTACGTATAGGATCATATCATCTGCAAATAGAGAGAGCTTTACTTCCTCTTTGCCAATTTGGATGCCTTTAATTTCTCTGTCTTACGGACTAGCTCTTGCTAAGACTTTTAGCACAGTATTGAATAGGAGTGGTGACAAAGGGCATCCTTGTCTGGTTCCTGTGTTCGCAGAGGGAAGGCTTTCAGTTTCTCTGCATTGAGAGTGATATAAGCTGTTGGTTTTGTATATATGCTTTTAATTATGTTGGGGAATTTCCCTTCAATTCCTACCTTGCTGAGTGTTTTTATCAGGAATGGATGTTGGATTTTGTCAAATGCCTTTTATGTATCAATCAATAGGATCATGTGGTTCTTTTCTTTTTTCTTATTTATATGGTGGATATTGTTGATTGTTTTTCTAATGTTGAACCATCCTTGCATTCCTGATATGAATCCCACTTGATCATGATGTATTATTATCTTTTTAATGTGTTGCTGCATTCTGTTGGCTAGGATTTTGTTGAGAAATTTTGCATCTATGTTCATGAGGGATATTGGTCTATAATTTTCTTTCTTAGTGCCGTCCTTTTCTGGTTTTGGTATGAGGGTTATGCTTGCTTCATAAAATGTATTAGGAAGTTTTCCATCCTCCTCTATCTTCTGGAATAATGTGAGTAGAATTGGTGACAGCTCTTCCCTGAATGTTTGGTAGAACTCAACAGTGAAGCCTTCTGGGCCTGGACTTTTTTTGGTTGGGAGTTTTTTGATGACCTGATCAATTTCTTCTTTTGTTATGGGTCTGTCCATGTTTTCTAGTTCACTGTGTGTAAGTTTAGTTAGGTCGTGTTTATCTAACAATGGATCCATCTCTTTCAAGTTTTCAAATTTGTTGGAGTACAACTCTTCATAATATTCTGTTATTATCCTTTTGATTTCTTTTGTTCCGTTGTGACATCACCCATGTGGTTTCTAATGCGTGTTATTTGTGTCCTCTCCCTCTTTTGTTTTGTTAGGTTTGCCAATGGTCTGTCGATTTTGTTAATTCTTTCAAAGAACCAGCTTCTTGTCCTGTTGATTGTTTCTATAGTTTTTCTGTTTTCTCATTTATTTCTGCTCT